GTATTCTGAGGAGGAGTGAATTGATGAGACTTAGAAAACCGGACTTGGGACATTGAGATGAGGTCCAGTTTATTTTATACAGAAATACTTTTATGATACAGAGCTCAGCAAGGGTGTGTGTATATTTCGGTGTATTTTTGGTGCGAGTCCGAGAGTAGTTCCTCTCTTGCTCATTTTCCCGGCCAACTCGGCACCTGAAACACAATCTGCCAATTTATCCAGTTCGATTTAAAAAAAAAATGATATCGCCATGTTATGCCTTTTGAAAAAGTGCATTTTCATGTTTTATCATTCATGGAATACATTTCGCTTTTCACACCCCCCATCTGGCCCTGTCCCCGTGAGCAAACGGTTAACATAATCAGCTTCTATAATACACGCGTTTAGCATTCACTGTTTAAACGGACTCGGCATGTACACACAGAAATTACAATAACGTGATGCATCAATGAAGTCGATTAAGGCTGCGTCTGGGATGCTTACAGACGTAGGTTCGAATCCTCGTCACGGCCCTTGTGGATTTGTTTATCTTTCAGTGTCATTGGAGTAGGACGGTGGGATTGAACCTCCGTGCGTCTGGGGGTGACGATGGTCGAACCAGCCAGCCTGATCTGAATCGTGTCGACGGTAAGCCAGAAATACAGGTTTGTGAACATTTTTCAGCCCGTGTCTCAGCTGATTGGTGAAGCTTTGTTCATTGTGTACACTAAATTAGTTCATATATGCTCGATACTTAAGAGGAAATCTCTCGTTCCTTTGAGAGAGGAGTGGCTGAAATCCAAGAACACACGCATTATTAGGAGGGGAAGACAGACAGACAGAGACATAGACAGAGACATAGACAGACAGAGACAGACAGAGACAGAGACATAGACAGACAGAGACAGACAGAGACAGACAGAGACAGAGACTGACAGAGACAGACAAAGACAGACAGAAACAAGCTGCTATATTTACTTTTGTTTATTTCTTAGTGTTTTCTATTTTTGGTTGTCATGGGCCAAATTTTATTAACCTAACCTTTCCCGAAGAGTTAATAAAATAATGCTAATTTTATTCCTGGTGTGAATAAGTATATGTTTAATTACATATACATGTGTGTGTGTGTGTGTGTGTGTGTGTGTGTGTGTGTGTGCGTGTGCGTGTGCGTGTGTGTGTGTGTGTGTGTGTGTGTGTGTGTGTGCGTGTGCGTGCGCACACTCACTAAGATGTACTCGTTTGATATGGTTTGAGGGGCGAGAGAAGCTCCTAGGCCCCGCCTTTAGATTGTTCTTAGTTTAATATAATGACTTAATTCTCACAATCAACTTGATGATGATCCAGGACGGACCGAAACGTCGTCGTCTCCTCATCTTCTGGCGTGTGGTGTGGTCTTCTTAGATCTCACTATTGTCTTATCACATTTATACTTCAAATGTTGGATTGCGTTACCTTCAACGACTTCTCCGTCACACCTATTCCATTTATTGACGACTCTGACACTATAGAAATCCTGTCATCTGACTCCTGTCCATAGTTTATAGGCCACAGTCGTTCTGCTGTTCCTAGCTGTGAAGAATGCATCTTCGTCTACTTTTTAAAGTGTTGTTGTTTTAGATTTATCTACTCAGAACGAAGTGTCCATGTAGCACGGGCTATAGTGAGCCTGTAAGTGAGTTCGGTTATTCGCGATAACCTTGTTACTGTGATATTTGGGTCAGAGTTTTAAATGGAGGTGGGGTGTCCTCCTTTTTCCCGGTTTCTTTTTTGCTGCTTCTGTTTTAGCGCACTGGTTTTAGTTTTGTTTTAATAACATTATCTTGGTGGCGAATGTTGATGCAGAATGTTCACTAGTGTGTTCCATTTTTCAACTGTGTTTACTTTTTCAAATTTCCCCCTAGAACTTAATAGGACTGACATGTACCTACTCAATCTCTCCGCTAGTTTCCTCGTATCTCAAGCCATTCAAGTCAGGAACGAACCCTTGCTGCCTGTATCTGGACCTTACGTAGTTTTGACTTTTTTCTTGGGTTCCATACCGGGGGCTGCTTATACAATAGTGGTCTCACATAGGTTATGCATAGGGCCTGCACGGCTCCTTTGCCCATGTTTCTGAAGGCTACATGGACGTTGGTCAGTAGGGCGTATGACGCTGACGTTAATCTGTAGACGTGTGCTTCTTCCTCTATGGCTAGTCATACTGGACTCTTCTCAATCCCTTCATCATTCTATAGTCTAACACTCTAACCGACCCCAGTGAAGCCGTGAGTGACTTCCCCGATCAATCCCTACCCCGTCCTCTAAATCAAGCCCTGTTGGCATCCTCCCCCTCTGCATCGATCATGCCCTATGCTACTCCCCCTCGATCAATCCCCTGAACGACAAAGGACAGCTGGGAATGCGACCTGTCTGGGGCAAATTGGAGTTCGCGGAAATTCTTCGGGAGGAGCAAACGAACCAGCCAGGTGGGTAATGAAAGAGCGAGCGGGTGGCTGCACGCCGGGAACTGGTTCACCAATGGCTGCCGGAGTCTTCGGTCTCGGAGATACTGCATCAAGAACAACCTACTTTACCCCGGGTTAAAGGAGGTTATCCTGTGCAGGAAAATAGTCTGAAGCTCAGAGCATCATAGTGACTGTTGGTGTCCTTCCCAGGCGGCTCTCTGGAACTGCACACAGGAACCGAACGTCGCATAAATTGTTCTAATGGCTCGGAGACTTGAGAATATTCCGTGCCATCCTCAGTCAGCTCCAGGGAGTCTACACCTGTGTTTTCTGTGCAGGTAACCTCGGGGAAAAGCTCCTTGTGCACGGAACAACCCAAGCCCCATTGTGACTTCCTAGAATTCGTTAACGTGTCTTGGAATAGTATGCTCGAATTTCTCTGAAACGAAGAGCAAACTTTGGACTTTTCTTACCACAGACGTCGATATTCATTTACAATTGCTAACCAGTATATATATATTTCCTGGCGTCCTCCGTGGACAAAGTTAGAGATGTGCTACCAGCAGTGTGTAGCGGGATGAGGACTCAACCACAGAAGGTGACTGAAGAGCTCTTACAGTGCTAACAAGCATTTATATATATTTTTATTGGACGAATGCATATCAACCGCTCCAGTGAGACCCGTTAATACATCAGCATGGTAACGGGAGACAATATGATAACGGAAGTCAATATGCCAACGCCACATGGCGTTGGACTCTCACGCAGCTCCGGCCAGAATTAGTACTCTATACACAATGCACAAATTATCTTCGTATGACTGAAGTGCGACGCAACTGCGATTGTAAAATGATTAGTTGACCAACAAACAACAAGCCACATGCGTACCTCTGTATCACCTGATGTGACTACCTGAATTTACCCGAGGGCCACCATCTCGAGAGGCCTGAACGTGATCATTGACCCGGTGGCTTGGTCAAAGCCCCCACCAATATTCCTCAGGTTTTCCAGCTGTATTTTGAACTGGTGGGCAGGCGACTACTCAGGCTAGTTTTCCTATTGGTGAAAAAACTATTCAGACTATCCCACGCTGTGGTTGAAGCCTTGAAGTTGACGTTGAAGCCGCTGAGCTTGAAGCCGTGTTCCTTTTCCTGTGTGTGTGAGACAGTGTGGTTCAGGGAGCTTGAAGCTGTTGTTCCTTGTGTAGGTTATATGTACATTTTAAAGAATAATGGTTAATGTCTGTATGAACTCAGTCCTGTAATGGTAGCTTGTGTTCTATGATTGCCGAGACGCGAGTGGAAGCCAAAGCACCTAAGGCACATATATATATATATATATATATATATATATATATATATATATATATATATATATATATATATATATATATATATATATATATATATACACACATATATATATATATATACACACACATATATATATATATATACACACATATATATATATATATATATATATATATATATATATATATATATATATATATATATATATATATATATAAAAGCAAGCCAGTCCTCCTAAGGTCTTCCAGGGTCAAGAAACTGCCGTATTAAACCTACCAGAGGACCCAAAACAGAAAACGGGACATTATGTCAATTTCGCGAGCCGCTTCCATTTTCTAGTACGACGATTTTTGGTCTTGGGTGCAGTATACGTCAAAATGCAACATTCTATTGGGAGGACGGGTTATAAAAAACTTTGTGAATAAGAGAATAGTGCAAAGAAAATGGAATGCGGTGATAAGAAGTAGATATAGACTATCCACGGCATTATACACGTTAAAACAGAGCCAAATAGGCTCGACTGAATGTTGACAGGCGGGACCAAACAGCTGAAGTCCATCCCTCGCAAGACCAGTTAAGTCAACAGTCACACGCAGATTAGAGACGGGAGTCAGTTCATTTTATTATTATTATTATTATTTTCTACCACAGACGTGGCCAGACATTTACAATGCTAACCAGCATATATACATTTTCTTCTGTCCTCCATGGACAGGGTTAGAGATGTGTTAAACATATAGTTCAAGGGGTTTATTGAACAATCAACCACAGAAGGTGATTCGGTGCTTTTAAAATGCTAAGCTAACCTACATACGTAAATACATAGATACACAGATTAGTGCATTAAGATGGCCAAGAACACACACATGCAAGTGCACCCAAATGTTTAAATTCAAATCACACGAGAATGATCTTAATGATCGGGGTCTATCGAATGCAAGTCCGCCTATCAGAGCCAGTTTGGGATGATCAGTGGTCAGGGTAATGGGCCCCGACACGTGTTAATTATAGATGCCAGAGCCTCAGAATGGTAAGATTGCCACCTTTAAATGCCACACACACACCATCCATCTGACTCACTCACTCTCTCACTCTCTCTCCTTTCTCCTCTCTCCTTTCTCCTCTCTCCTCTCTCTCCCTCTCTCTTTCTCCACAAACTCCTGAAGAAATCTGTAAGGTACTTAGCAGTTTTAAGGCATGTTGGGCAGAACTGGTTGCTAACTGGAAACACACCAGTCGTCTGGCCGGCCAAGCTGAGGCCAAGATGTGGGCGTGGCCGGCCAAGGTGTGGGCGGGGCCGGCCAAGCTGAGGCCGAAGGCAGGCGGGGCCGGCCAAGGTGTGGGCGGGGCCGGCCAAGGTGTGGGCGGGGCCGGCCAAGGTGTGGGCGGGGCCGGCCAAGGTGTGGGCGGGGCCGGCCAAGGTGTGGGCGTGGCCGGCCAAGGTGTGGGCGGGGCCGGCCAAGCTGAGGCCGAAGGTGGGCGTGGCCGGCCAAGCTTGCCATTCTCCTTCGATTCTTTTATCTTGACGTTTATCGCTGAGAAAAAGACGGCCGCCCCGCCTCCATTACCAACACACACACACACACACACACACACACACACACACACACACACACACACACACACACACACACACACACACAGTGCATTTATCACCCCTTCCCCCTGTCTCCCACCAGGAAGCATCAGCAGCACCTGCCTGGACCCCCACACACGTCAAGCAACACCTCATATATTCGAGTTCACACAAAAATCAAGACAATGTTAACTTGGTACAACACTATAATGCCCTGCTACCAGGTAGACCTTATGACGCTAGTCTCGTGGGTTCAATGTCCAGAGAAAGAGGGATGACGCTATTGACTGCCCAAGCTGAAGCGGGGGAATAGGGGATAGGAGATAGGAAAGGAATGGGACGGACGAGAAGGGAAGGAATGGGTTAGGAAAGAGGATGAAGGGATAGTGATGAGTGCACAGGATTGGGATGGATATAATATGGGTAGAGAGCAGTAAATGGATATAGGAAAATGAGAAAGTGGGAGAGGGGGAAATTGTGACGCGTAAAAGGGATAGGAAATGGAAGAGATGTCTGGGATGGGAGGGAAGTACGCAGGGAAGAAACACTTAAATTTTATTGTAGAAAAACCGTTTAAAGTTACGAGAAGCTCAGGCTATCTGCTGGTCCACAAACTGAATATATACCGATGGATAAATGTCTAATATAATGTGCGCACTAGCATGCACGCAAACACACACACACACACACACACACACACACACACACACACACACACACACACACACACACACACACACACACACACACAGGAATGAACATGCAAAATATTCGCTGAACACCACAGAAACAGCATTAAAATGTAGCATACAAGGCCAAGGATCAACCTGTACTACTGTAATGCCACATAAGCAAGATGACGCCTGTAATTACTCAAGTGATCAAGCTTCACAAAGGACATGACCACACACAAAATCATTAGTGCCAAGAACTCGCTCAATGTGTACAGGACGTGTTCCAGCTGAACCCAGAGTTCCATCCAAGATCAACAATTTCTGAAGAAGCAGACACACTACAAGATGAAAAGCTGCCTGAAGCAAAAGTGGCCCCAAGAATAGAACCATTACAGGAGCTGGATGAACAACTCACCATGGATACTGAAAGAGGCAGCTACACCACTGTGTGTACCTATTATAGGTTTCAGCTGAGAATAGAACCATTACAGGAGCTGGATGAACAACTCACCATGGATACTGAAAGAGGCAGCTACACCACTGTGTGTACCTATTATAGGTTTCAGCTGAACAAATCCACAAGGGCCGTGACGAGGTTACAGCACCTCACAGAAATGGAGACATTACCTACAATTTTGAAAATAGTTAATGTGGTACCTATTAGTAGGTACCACATTGACTATAATAATTACATTAATGTAGGGAGCCGGTCGGCCGAGCGGACAGCACGCTGGACTTGTGATCCTGTGGTCCTGGGTTCGATCCCAGGCGCCGGCGAGAAACAATGGGCAGAGTTTCTTTCACCCTATGCCCCCTGTTACCTAGCAGTAAAATAGGTACCTGGGTGTTAGTCAGCTGTCACGGGCTGCTTCCTGGGGGTGGAGGCCTGGTCGAGGACCGGGCCGCGGGGGACACTAAAGCCCCGAAATCATCTCAAGATAACCTCAAGAATCTCAAGATAACCAATCGGCAAATAGGTCTGTGAAGCATTATATGGGAGCCCGGGCATCCAATCTTGAGGTTATCTTGAGATGATTTCGGGGCTTTTAATGTCCCCGCGGCCCGGTCCTCGACCAGGCCTCCACCCCCAGGGAGCAGCCCCGTGACAGCTGACTAACACCCAGGTACCTATTTTACTGCTAGGTAACAGGGGCATAGGGTGAAAGAAACTCTGCCCATTGTTTCTCGCCGGCGCCTGGGATCGAACCCAGGACCACTAGATCACAAGTACAGCGTGCTGTCCGCTCGGCCGACCGGCTCCCCAAATGGCAGGAACGGCCCCAACCAGCACCAGCGACTCTCAAAACATGTTTCATGAATTTCATAAAAGCACAAGCCTGCCAGACTTCAGCGATCAGTGTCACGTTACTGCCACGCTGTCTGCCACGCTGTTGACGTGTGCTCCGAGGGGGGGGGGGCATGCCGTAGGCCCACACCCTCCTACGCAATAGGAACAGCCTAATAGAACAAACGACATCGATGCAACATTGAATAACGCTCATCCAACGTCGAATGTACGTTAACTGGACGTTACTAGATCATGGTTTTATCTGACTGTCAGGGCGCCTGACAGCTGGGTGGACAGCTTTGTCCACCCAGCGCTTTGGATTCGTAGTCCTGAGGTTCCGGGTTCGATCCCCGGTGGAGGCGGAGACAAATAGGCAAAATGTTTCTTTCACCCTGATACCCAATATTACCTAGCAGTAAATAGGTACCTGGGAGTTAGACAGCTGCTCCGGGCTGCTTCCTGGAGGTGTGTAACAAAAAGGAGGCGTGGTTGAGGACCGGGCCGCGGGGACGCCAAGTCCCGAAATCATCTCAAGATAACCTCAAGATAACCACTGGAACCGCTCCTGGCAGGGCGCGGGGCAAGATGTGGTTCACAGCTGGTCCTCCACACCTGGCCCTCCACACCTGGCCCTCCACACCTGGCCCTCCAGGCCCCAGAATGTATCACCTTACACCGACGTAGTTTGCCTGGAGAGGTCGGTGGTGCCAGGGTGTCTGGGCAAGAGAGTGACAACAATGATCCCCGCCCAACTCTATACAATGGTAACACCACCACCACCACCAACACCACCACCACTATCATCAATGTAACCTACCAACATTGTCAACAACAACAACATTACCAGTAGGCCTACCAACATTGTCAACAACAACAACAACATAACATTACCAGTAGGCCTACCAACATTGTCAACAAAATCAGCACCCATAAACATAACTATGACAAACAAACCAATAACAAAAATAGTGAATGCCACATAAACAGGGGCAACAAATAATCAGAAACGGAAGAGGAGAACGGGGCCGAATATCATCATATGGTGAGGAGAGGCTATGAGGGAAGGGAAGGGGAGGGGAGGGGAGGGGAGGGAAGGGAAGGGCAGGGAAGGGAAGGGAAGGGCAGGGCAGGGCAGGGCAGGGAAGGGCAGGGAAGGGAAGGGAAGGAGGGAAGGGAAGGGAAGGGAAGGGAAGGGCAGGGCAGGGCAGGGAAGGGAAGGGAAGGGAAGGGAAGGGAAGGGAAGGGAAGGGAAGGGAAGGGAAGGGCGCTGAGGGTGGCAGGGGCCATAACAACATTTGGGGCTCAGCTGCGGGCGATGGAATACCTCATGAATCAGAATTATTTGACTCACACTTCAAACTTTTATTTCTCCCCCACTCTCGCGTACAGCAGTCGACACCAGGCAGGGAGGGAGGAAGGGGAAGGGACAGGAAGGAAAGGGAAGGGGAAAGGAAGGGAAGGAGGGTGGGAAAGAATCAGGGAAAGGGTGAGCTGGGTGGGAGGTAGCCCAAGAAACTATAAAAAACAAACCCTTGGCGACCATCTTATTCCCGTATGATGTAGGCAGAATACTGATACAAGATAAATAGAACATTAATCAACACTCCATTAACAGATTAAACGAAGCAAAAACAGTTTCAGGCAGAGTGAGAAGATCCAGTCACTTCAGCACCAACTCACAGCTACTCTTGCACCAGGCTCTAGTCCTGTCACATCTCTGAACATATAGAGCCCTTGTCCAGGGTCGTATAGAGGCTCTGTGTCCGGGGCGACTCTGTGATGTCTGTGGTAGAGATGCTGCGTCTTATCTACCATCTTTATAACACCTTCCAGCACCTCTACATTCCTTAAAGAAAACATACTTGTAAAACTAGAAATAGTGCAAAAACCTGGCACTAAGAACATAAGATAAATACCTTATGACTAGAAAATTCATAATATATATTCCTGAACATTCAGTTACTAAAATATCCTGTGTGTGTGGGGGGGGGGGGTGTAGTAGACCCCATACCCCATCTTGTGCGGGGGGTAGTGGACCCCATACGTATCCTGTGTGTGGGAGGGGGTGTAATGGACCCCATACCCCATCTTGTGCGGGGGGTAGTGGACCCCATACGTATCCTGTGTGTGGGAGGGGATGTAGTGGACCCCATACCCCATCTTGTGCGGTGGGTAGTGGACCCCATACTGTGTTGGGGTAGTCAACCCCACACCATCCTGTGTGGGGGTGGGGTGTGGACCCCATACGCATCCTGTGTGGGAAAGGGGGCGGGGTGGACCCCATACACATCCTGTATGGGGGTGAGGGGGTGGACCCCATGCACATCCTGTGTGGGGGTGGAGGGGGGGTGGACCCTATACACATCCTGTATGGGGGTGGGGGGTGGACCCCATACAGTGTTGGGATAGTGGACCCCATACCATACTGTGGGTGATTGTGGACCCCATATCCATTCTCTGTAACAAGGTTACAGAGGCATATAATGGGCTCAGGGGACTGAACTCCAAAATTCATTTAGCTCAGCAAGTTACAGTATTGATAAGGTAGTTAACACAGTATTATATATATCAACAAAGGGCCTGATAACGATATGGCGAGGCAGTCCCTCGCCCCGAACCAACACTATAACTTTCTCAGCTTAGTAACTGTACAGCAAGCTGAGAAAGCTTAACATGACCTGAAGCCAGGCACCGTTGCAGTGGATGCCCTGGTTATTCTTGCTGAGGTCAGATGTGCATTGTGGTTCAGGGAGCTTGTGTGCGCGTGAGGCGAGATCCCAAAACATGACCTGAAGCCAGGCACCGTTGCAGTGGATGCCCTGGTTATTCTTGCTGAGGTCAGATGTGCATTGTGGTTCAGGGAGCTTGTGTGCGCGTGAGGCGAGATCCCAAAACATGACCTGAAGCCAGGCACCGTTGCAGTGGATGCCCTGGTTA